GCGCGGGGGCCCCCCCGACGCGCTCGCGGCGCTCGCCGACGACCCGTGCGCCTGCCGCGACCTGCAGGGGCGCGTCGAGGGGCCCTGCGTGCCCGTCGTCGACGTGTACCTCGCGGACATCGCGCGCATCGACGCGCAGCTCGCGGACACGGTCGCGCTGCCCGGGTCCGGGGCGCCGCTCGTCAACTTTGCCAAGCGCGAGAAGTGGCACGACGCGGTGAACGCGATGCTGCAGCACCAGGGGCGCCCGTACGCCTTTGTGGAAGACCCGCTGGTCGTGGAGGTGTTCGAGCTGCATATGACGAGCGTGTCATGACCGGCGCATGGCTCCACCGTGCACGCTGGGGAAAGTCCGGAAACGGGGCAGGCGTCGGGTGGCCGTTCTGGTGACGTGCTTGCGACGAGACCCCGCGCAAACCGGGTTGTAACTTATACACTATTTTGCCACGCATTCTTAGGCTCTGTTGTTTCCTGGGACATTTTCGTGTACTCTCTCGGCTGGCTGCCGCATCACTGGCATTTGTTGTCTTACTTTTTCCTATATCATCATGTTCCCCAATATCGATGTCGCGAACCGTCCGAAAAGTATTATTCACAGTGGCAATGCGGATGGAAAATACAATACAGGCAGACTTAGACGGAGCGAGCGGAAGACCTCTAGCATGATGAGGGGTAGAAGGAAGATGATGGCGCCGAGTGGGCTGGCGACGCGTACTACGAAAATTAGGTCCCACATGTCGTGTGCATGGGACTAGCGGAAACTCCTCAACAGTTGCAAGGCTCATTCTGCCCAGGGGTGCCGCTAGCCTGCTTGTTCAGGTCGACTCCTGCTCTTGCTGCTGGACCCGGCCGTCCTCCCCGCGCAGATGGCGGTGCATTCTGTGGGAGCTTCTTGGCTGCACACCGATTGAGCAATCACTGGAACAAGATCACGAGGTGCATGCTCTCACCAATCGCTGTGAATATCTCCTGAACACCCTCTCCGGTCTTCGCACTCGTCTCGCACCACATGAGGCCCTCCTCGTCAGCATACTTCTTCGCTTCCTCCTCAGTCACTTGACGTCGTGCAGCGAGATCAGACTTGTTGCCACAGAGAGCGATTACTATAGATGGGTCTGCCTGGCGCTGAAGCTCGCGGATCCACGAACGGGCTTTCTCAAGAGATGCGGTCTGCGTGATGTCGTAGACGACGACTGCGCAGTTCGCGTTACGATAATACATGGGAGCCTTTGGGATTTGAGTATGAAATAAATGACACTGTCGAGCAAGAGAGACATACAAGAGACTGGAAAGCGTTGTGAGAGAATGCTTTCTACACTGAGGAAATAACGCACCTTGTATCGTTCTTGGCCGGCTGTATCCCTGTGGAAACGTCTAGTGTCCGAATTATGAAACAGAATTCCACAATCGCACCATATTTCAAACTTAACCGTCGTTTGATCCTCAAGAGTCACGGTCTGCGTCAAAAAGGCAGCTACGTAGCATCTTCTGTGAGTGTAACCCATAGCAGTTTCGCATGTCGTACCTCCAATTGTACTTTCTCTGTAGTCATCGAACTGGTCCTTGACGAAGCGCAAGACCAGGCTTTGGAGAGATGCCTCAGATCTTACGCCTATCTGTGTCTGAGTATATGCCATACCTTGACTTCCCAACAGCCGATTCACCTAATCCGCTGCGCTTTAGTGACTAAGCCGGAGCATAATGTTGAACACCCACCCAAGAGAACAAGTTTAAACTGCAGTTGCTTGGACATTCAAACAGAATATAAGAGAGTCCGAGGAGTAAGATCGAAAGCACGACTGTGATAACACGCACGACCTGAGCGCAGTCTGCGTCAGTGGTGCACCCATCCAAAACGGGAAGACTCTCACGCTTCCATCCCGCTACGGCCCACCGAAAATTGATCTGAGTTACTTGATTCCGGACTTCCATCTTGTCGCCACGACTTTCGGCTGTTCTCTGCATCCCTCCGCCAGGTCAGGAGTGAGGACGTGAAAAAACGTTGCCTATTAGTCCTCAACCACTCGGCATTGTCAGAGTCTATCTTAGGTCGCCATCCCGTTGCTGAGCCTGCGCCGCAAATTTCCGCTAAAAGCCGTTACTTGTTGAGGAAATGAACCGACACCATCCGTACGGAGGTCCCTACACCAGCCCCCCACGCAGGGGTGGCCCACCCGGTGGTTTCGGGCCTGACAGATCGCACCGCTTCTCTGACAGGGGTGGTCCCCCTCGAGGTCGAGGTCATGGTCGTGGCGGTCGCGGTGCTGGCGGTAATGCTGGCGCCGGCGCTGGAGCCCCCCAAGGAGGCAGTACCTACGGAGGGTACGAGGGCAATTTTGGCGGCTTTGATCAAGGTCCCCCGCAAGGCGATATGGGGGGGTACAATAACTACGAGTCCGCTCCTGGTCAAGACCCTTTTTACCAGAATGGTAGTTTCGATTCAACGCCAGCACCAGGAGAATACGGCTCTTCAGCAGATTCATCAGGTCGGTTCAACCAAGGCTACGGGAACTTTGAAGGTACGCTTGAAAATCCCGTCAAATGTGGCAACGCGCATTATAGTCTGGACACTCGAGTCATCAGACATTGGTTTCCTGATGAGTGCACCCTTGTCAAACCTGAGCTATCGCCCGTTTCTTTCGTGAGCTTGTATCCATGGGAGGCTCCTCGAACAACGCCACAACCAAGTCTATATGTGGCCCAACCCGGGAAAATACATTCCAGTTGCTCTTGAGCTGTGGCCACGCAACGTCTCCGTGAATATTCTCTGTCACGAGCCGTAGTTCAGGCGATCGAATTTGCTGAGTCTCTATTCTACTGCGCTCGTCTTTTGGCTGTCTCGTCCCTAAGTCGCTGTTCTCACACTTTGCCAATTTTTTCATCAGACGATTCAGGTTCTAACTATGGTCAGAGTGGGTATGGTGGCCGACCACCTAAGCGATTCCCACGTCGTGAAAAGGATGATAAAGTGCACGATTCAATTATTGAGGAACGAATTCAGCGAGAGCGCCCGTGTCGCACTCTTTTTATTCGCAATATTAAGGCAAGTTTCGGCTCTTGACATGTTCGTTAGTCAACGCGAACATGCTCAGACTGAATTTCTTCTGGAGACATTGAGTTAAAATACTGATAAAAATTACGGTATGTTCTGCAGTATGAGACCGACAGCGATGACGTTCGCCGACTGTTTGAAGAACATGGAGAAATTCGAACCTTCTTTGACCTGATTGCAAATCGGGGGATGGTATTTGTGACTTACGTGAGTGCGAATGAAGTGCGCAATTTGACTTGACGACCAACTTGTATGCCAGTTCGATTTACGCGCTGCTGAGCGTGCTCGAGAGCGTCTTCAAGGCTCTGAAATTAGTGGCCGCCCAGTAAGCATCATGCATAGAAGTCGAACGGAGTTCTCATGGATTACGCAGATTGATGTGCACTACTCTCTACCACGTGATGACCACGGCGCAAGAGGGGGAGAAAAAGACAAGAATCAAGTAGGCCTCTTCAGTCATTTAGTGCTGCTTGAGCAGATTTTCATTATGCACACTCATACCCAGCAGTTACAGGGAACTCTCCTTGTTACTCTGAGAAATTCTGCCACTGGACAAGCAATTGATGACAACGAGGTGCGCCGCAAGTTTCAACAGTTTGGCGATGTCAAGTCAGTCAGTCCCGCGGGAGACCGTACCGAGTACGTTCTCATAGTCTTTTCGATTTGCTTGCTCCTGAACCTTATTATGATAACAGCCAGCGTTTCGTGGAGTTTTATGACACCAGAGTGAGCATCACCAGGAACACTTGATCCCGCCGCGTCTTTCTTATATTGTGTCTTCAGGCCTGCGATGAGTCTCACGATCGCCTCCGACATCAAGGCCTGCAGGACGGAGTAATGGAGATTGTCTTTGCCGCTGATGGTGAGGATCCTAGAGGTCTCTCTCCTCGGTGAGTATTGCTGCACTTCATTTGATTTATACTTACTGATTACTCGATAGACGAGAAGACAGATATGATCGAGGCCGCGATTGGGATGAACCCCCTCCTCGTGGCCGTAGAGGAGGTCGTGGAGGTCGCGGGCGTAGCCG